TGAGGATTTTTGGATCCATAAAAGAACCTATTTTAGAGTTAGCAAAAATGAAAATGTAATATCAGAATTTGTGGGATACAGCTAAAGGGAAATTTATGGTATTAAATACTTCTATTAGAAAAGAAGAAAGGTCTTGAATAAATTATAAGATTACACATTAAGAAGTTAAAAAGAGTAAATTAAACCCAAAACAAGAAAAAGGAAATAATAAAGATGAGAACAAAAAATCAGTACAGTTGAAAAAGAAAGAAAACAAAATTGGTGATACCATAAGAAATCTCTGCCAGTAAATTTGATGACTTAGATGAAATGGACAAATTCCTTGAAAGGCCCAAACTTTCAAAGCTCACTCATGAAGACATAGATCATCTGAATAGTTCTGTATCTTTAATAGATACTGAATTAATACTTAAAAATTTACCAACAAAGAAAACTCCAGGCCTAGAAGGCTTCACCTTGAATTAATTCTGCCAGACTTTTAAGAAAGAACTATTACTATCTCAGTACAAACTCCTCCAGATAATACAAGGAGAGGATACTTCCCAACTCATTTTATTAAGGACATTATCACCCTAATGCCACTACTAGACAAAGATCTTACAAGAAAAGAAAAGTACAAGTCAGTATCACTCATAGACACAGACATAAAAATCCTCAAAATATTAGCAAATTGAATCTAGCAATGTATCAAAAGAAAAATGCAGCATGCTCAATTATCATGTAACCCAGGAGTTCAAGGCCAATGTAATTCACATTAGCAGACTAAGGAAGAGAAACCAGTCATCTCAATACATGCAAAAAAAAAAAAAAATTTGTCAAAATTCAGCATTCTTTTGTGATTTAAAAAAAATGCAGTAAAACTTTCTCAGCGTTGTACTGTTTACATTTTCTGAAAATAATAAAATGTAAATTTCTTTGAAAGAGAGGTCATGCATAAATTCATCAAGTAAAAATAGAAGAGTTTTAAATTGACCCTCAGTAACGTATTAAGATGATCACGTTGGACTTTACACAGCAGGCTTTCCTGGAATTTTCAGTAGATAGCGCTTGCTACTCCTGTCTGGTTTGGTTTATCCGTAAGTTTCACATGTATTGCAGTTGTTTCCTACATGGTAGGTAGGGCACCGTCGTCACTTTATGAATGGAGATACTCAGATACACTTAATAATAATGACGGAAACTGACACTTCATGAGCACTTACCATGTGCCAGGCGTTGCTCTTTGCACTTTGAAGGTATTAACCTATTTCATTTTAACAACACCCCCATGAGGCAAGCACTGTGTTTTTCCTCATTTATAGATCAGGAAACTGAGGCATAGAGAAGTTAAATAACCTGTCTACATTTACAAGCAGAGCTAAGAATTAAGCCCAAGCATCTGACACCTGGTAGGTGCTCTAAGCTACTGCGTGATGCTGCACAGAGAGGAAGCTGAGTATCTTACAAGTCCGGTAGCTGGTAAGTATCCGAGGCAGGACCCAAACTACGCCTTCTGACTCTGAGCACTTCACAGCCCACATTACCACGAGGTCTAATCTATGTAATGACACATGTTCAGTCTTCATCTTGTCCTCCAGTTACATCGCGTCTTTCTTGAAAATATCATCTATTTTCTTTGTAAATCCTCTGGAGATCTCTCCCACTGAATAGGCTGTTAACACATGTATTGATTAGAGCACAAAAACTTGAGGAAAAACTGAGAATCAGTGGGGAAATACATGTATTTTACTTTTCAAAATGTGTTTATTATTGTCTTAAGAAAAAGAAAAAAAAGCTTAGCTCTCTACTTTTACCTCTTGGAAGAATGGCCATTTAGCAAGCAAAAATGCCTCTCTAATACATACTTACCTCTTTTTTACCCCCATCTACCCCACCAGAGCTTCTCATTTCTATAAATCTGTGTTCTAGTGATCACTCACTGGTTTCATAATAAGTGGTTAAATGTGATTGTGCCGTTACTCAAAGGGTGCAGCTGATTAATCAGAACGTGACCTTGGATAATTACTGTTCACAACTAATAACATAATTGAAGGTAACGTGCTGTACTTAGATTTCAGGAATTGTAGCCAAACGTGGTGGGCGGAGGAAAACTGTACACGCCCAGGGAAAAATCCCTTCCTTTGAAAAGTTGCCTTTGAGTTGCACTGACATATCATTCATTCCCATTTTCACCTTAAATATTTTATCTTCTGCAGACCTTATCAGAGGGGAAATAGTTGATCATTTTTATGATCTGTTAATCATAACAGAATGCTCTGAAAGTTGATAAAAGCCACCTAACTGTTAAAAATCATCATCACTAAATTTACTGTTGTCTGCAAAATTCTAACCCAGTGGTAGGAAATACAAGCTTATATCTTTTTTTTTTTTTTTTAAGTTTATTTGTTTTGAATGAGAAAGAGAGACAGAAAATCCCAAGCAGGATTTGCGCTGTAAGCACAGAGCCTAATGCGGGGCTTGAACCCCCAAACCGTAAGATCATGACCTGAGCCAAAATCAAGACTCAGATACTCAACCCACTGAGCCACCCAGGCACCCCCAAGTCTATACCTTTGAATAAATTGTTTCACATTCTTGGCTGCTGTGGCAGCCTGACTCCAAATGAAATTGGGGACGAAACAAATTACACCTTTCACCTCAAATACTTTCCATTAAGAAAAGTAAGGCTTTTGTTAGTAAGAACTGCTGGAGACAGCATGATAAAGTAAGGAACAGCCAAGTACTGGTCTCCCTCCGGACACTGACCGGCTGACTTGGGACAAGCCTCTCTCTCTCTCTAACCCTGTTGAGTCATCCGTAGGACAGAGCTTTATCAGCTCCCTGGATTGTTGTGAGAATTAATTAACAGTAGAGCACATGGTCCATAGTAAACATGCAGTAGATGTCCGTTCCCTTCATTTTTGATACATAACTTATACTTCCCTTCTGGAAGTGGTAGGTTTACCATTTTTTAAGTAGCGTGAGTTTGAATGCGACAAGAGAACATCAGCTTAAAACAGACGAATGGGAGCCAGTTTGAAAAAGGGAATTTAGTTAGAAACTGAGTCTCCTTCCTACCCCGCAGCTCTCCTGGTTGAGAACGGCAGTTCCTTGAGGCCTGGAGGCAAGTCCGCACATGGTACAGAGTGAACAAGAGTGGATCACCGTTGCGTTCCTTCCCTCTGTGACCATGTGGCACGTCCATGCTCTCCCTTGTGGGCTGTGGTATGTGTATTTGAGCACCACACAGTCTGCTTTGCTTTGGTTCTGTACGTTTTGGTCTCCCCATCGGCAGTTTCCAAAGTGGACGGGTACCCACCGTCCATAGCAGCGTGGGAGGACTGTATCAGAGCTTTCTTTTCATCTAAAAATAAAGAGATTGAGTTTTCCCAATTCATAGCATTGCACGGACCGCCCGCCAGGCTCTCCGTGTCAGCTGCAAGACTCCGGGTCTCCCGGGGAGGAGAGGGGCGGTCTCGGCTTGGAGGGCGTGGTGGGCACTCTCACCTTTCATTCACCTATGGTTCCTGGTGATGTATGTTATTCATGGTTATAAATCTGAGTTTAACTAAGTAAAGCCTCTAAGATGGAGTATTGGAAAGAGTCCTGCAAAGGAGCCGTAAATCAAAGGCAGTCCAATAGAAGTACACGTGACACAAAGGAAATGGCAGAGCCGAGGTCCCCCTCAACCTGGAGCAGATGCTAAATCACAGGGTGAAAACACTAACGAACCCTTCTCATCTCGCAAGAGACGGTTGCACAAAAATTGCCAAGCAGGGTGTTTGCATTACGGGTTTGTATTTACTGTGATAAGCAGTGCTCTTACTGTGACTGATACCGTATTTGCTGTTGATAATGTGAAGCCTCTGTGACGTGTAAGATCCAGGACAGTTAATCATCCAGATTCATTCTAAGGATCATATTAATGAGTATAAAAAGGTGTTTTGTGTCTGTAGTTAGGTAACGTTTTAAACTAGCTTTTCTCTTTCACATATAAAATAGCCTATAAATGGAGATACTCAATTTTCTAACAAAACAAATTTTTATATTTTTACATGCCTGACTGTAAATACTTAGGTTATTCTCTTGAATTAAAAAATGACCTATAATCTTCTTAATTTATTAACATCTTGATCTTAAAATGATTTCCTAAAAAAATACTGGCATTGTTTTAGTTTTTAGTGACCAATATTAAGGTGTGGGTTTTTTTTTTTTAACACTTATTTATTATTGAGAGACAGAGAGAGCACAAGTTGGGGAGGTTCAGAAAGAGAGAGAGAGAGAGAGAGAGAGGAGGAAACACAGAATCCGAAGCAGGCTCCAGGCTCTGAGCTGTCAGCACAAAGCCAGACACGGGGCTTGAACTCACAGAGTGGAGATCCCACCTTATCTTCAAGCTGGAATACCCCTCACCTGAGCCCTTTAGTGACCAATATTAAAAGACAGTGTTATTTTCAGAGCATGCCTCAGAAGTGATCTGCTTATAGTTCAACTGTGCTGTCAGCCACGAAACAAACAAGCCCTAGCTTGCTGCTGATTGTGTAGGCCTTGTTGGATGATCAGGATACAGGCACAGATGCCATCTCAATAAAAAAAAAAACTCATACGTCATTTTGGCCAAGAGATTTTCCAGATTATCGGCCTTTTTTTTTTTTTTTTTTTTTTTTTTTTTTTTTGAGAGTTCCCGGTCAGTAAGCCTCAAAATTGACAGATTTTAAGCTTTAGCTCTCTCTCCCCACCTTCTGATGGGTGCCACCCTCTAAATGAAATATAAACAAATGCAAGGTGAGGCTGCACACTGAAAGAGCAGAACTCCGGAGGCTTGCTTAAGCCACAGCATGGGTCATCAGCCCGGAATATTCAGACGCTGGTTCTGACTCAGCCATCAAATGCTTTCAGAGAGGACCGTGTGCAGGAGAGCTAGAGGAGTAAGGCTGGGTCGCCTTTAGGAAATGGACGTACCACATGAGGAAGGCAGCTTGTGCATCTCCTTGTTTAAGAAATAACACTTTACCTTCCAGGTGATCACCTTCTTCAGCTCAAGGTTGCTGCAAGCGGGAGCTGAGCTCTCTGTGGAACGGGTCCTGGAAATCATCAAGCAGGGGGCCGTCGCACTGCCCAAAGACAGGCTGAAGGTAAGACTGCTGAAGGACACGTGCACTTTTGTATCACTTGGTGTAAACATTAGTGTCTGGGCAGGCCCTACTTGCCAGTACTTGGCTGGAAAAGGCTCTTTACTGCCTTCTCTACTCCATACTCGTACGCAGAACTGTGACGTAGAGGGATTCCCACAGTTTTTTAAAAGAAAACCGCCAAAGAAGGACTAACACCTCCATACCACGCCATGCACTGTGAATAAAGAAGCCCCTTACTTTTTTAACCCAGTGAAATGATTCAGTCTTACAAGTGTCAAGGGTTGAAGGGAAGGCACTGCTGGTGGTGGTGACTCAGCACTGGGCCACACATAGTGTTCACTCAGTGCCCTGTGGCGTTCTGAGTGTCTCGTGCCGTTAACTGCTTCGATCCTCAGAACGCTTGGAGGTGGGTAGTGTTTCGCCCAAACTTTTCAGATGGAGAAACTGAGGCACAGAGAGGTTACGCGACTTACCCAAAACCACGCAGCCAGAACACTGTGGAACTGGGAGGTTCGTACTCACGCAGTGTGGCTCCAAAGTCCACGCTCAGAATCCCCACGCCATTCACTGTCTGCCTGCACATAGCTCTGGAAAGAGAAGCGTCTCTTGGAAGAGGTAGGGGAAATAGGGTATCTTACGAAGGCACTTAACGTTTGCGTGTTCGGCGTGTTTCCAAAGTGATCTCATGATGTGAAACTCATACCCTAAGACTAATTTTCTCCTTAAAAAAAAAAAAAGGATATAAAGGGAGTATTTTGTGAACGTACAGCATTGTAACACATCTTAGCTTTCATGCTGCTTTTCAGGGTTTGCCTCATTACCTCTAATTTTTCTAGAGCGCTCGTTCCTAAATTAACAACACAGGGCATCATAGTAGATGTTTAGCCGCCTTCATCATAGTGTTTTATCACAACCAACTTCTGTTCCAGAGTTACTGTTTGGGGGGCTGTGTTTTTAACACTATCACAGAACCACTGCTTCTGAATGCTCGAGAGAGGTTGTTGTAGGATATGAAAATATTTTCAGTTATAACAACAGAGTTTGTAAAATAATAGCACATTAGTCATCATAACCACTTGCACAAGTTCCACTGAAAGTAAACAGCAGCGAGGTTTCTGTTTATCAGCTAAAATGGCACCACCATGTGGCAATAACATAGAAACTGATTACAGGTCACCGGTCCCTCCAGCTTTGACTTGACTCTCTTCCTGACAGTTCTTTAAATGTAAGGAATTCATATCGTTTCCATTCTTACATAGAGTAAGACTTCGGAGGTTTGTTGTTTCTCGAGGGTGCGCGCGCGTGCATGTATGTGTGTGTGTGCGTGTGTGTGTGCGTGCGCACGTGCTGTTTCCAGTTTACCTGAACTACACCACGCGAACCGGTACGAAAACCCATGAAGATGGGAGTGGCTGCCTACAGGACATGGTGGACCTTGGTGTCTCAGCTAAGTCAATAGAGAAGAGGAGCCGTCAGGAGGCTGGAGGGAAAGGGTCACAGAGGTATCTGGAGGGGGATTTGAATGGGATCAAAGAGGGGGTGCAGTGGAAGTAGTGGAAATGGGGCTAAGGAAATGGGGCTAAATGAAGACGGCAGAAGGGGAGCACGTCTTGGTGACAGCGTGGTCTGGCTCTGGCCATGAGTGAGGGACTGAAGTGCTGTGCCTGCGAATGGAAGTCAGTGCGGTTGAGCCAGTTAGTGAACTGGAAGCCAGGGATGGGCTGGTCATTCGCATAAGCTTCCTAGTCCCCCAGGGCGATGAGCCGTGGGTGGAGAGAAGGGCTGTGAGCCAGATGCCGCGGTCAGTCAATGGCAGTAGGTGGCAGTGCACAGACGACACGAAGCTGGTGCCAGCCTCCTATGGGCAGACCCTTCTGCTTAAGTGTAGAGGAATAATAGCCAGGAGACAGTAATGAAAACAAAGAGGGCACCAGCCCCACCTCCAGACCCTAGAGTCTGGAACGTGAAAGAATGAGCAGCCTCTAACTTCCAAAGGCTCCAGGGGAATCGGAGTCCCAAGGGGAGAGAGCTGAGTTTCAGTTAAAGAAGTAAGGAGGGCGCCTGGGTGGCTCAGTCGGGTAAGCGTCCGACTTCAGCTCAGGTCACGATCTTGTGGTTCACGAGTTTGAACCCCACATCGGGCTCTGTGCCGACAGCTCCGAGCCTGGAGCCTGCTTCTGATTCTGTGTCTCCCTCTCTTTCTACCCCTCTCTCACACTGAGTCTCTCTCTCTCTCCCCAAAATAAATAAACATTTTTTAAAAAGGAGGGGGGAGTAAGGAGGTAAGATTCCTTGCAGGGACTGAGGATGTAGTGATAACTTACAACCATAAAATAGGGGCTCCCAAGAGCCCTGTGGGGTATGGGAGCAGTGTGTCCGAGTATCACATTAGTAACCCAGGTGGGGTGCAGACGCAGGTGAAGTTACAGTAGGGAACCTGTAAACCACGTAAGGTGAGGAATACAGGATGTGTAACCTGGAGAAGAGAAGACTTCAGGAAAAGGGCCTGCACGCGTGCGTATGCTTTCGGGATTCAACTGCTTTCGGGATTATTCTGTAGAAGAGGAGCTGAGCAGTTCACTGTCGGCCCTAGGACAGCGGGTAGAAACTGAACCAAGACAGGTGTTAGTTCAACGTAAGAAAATGTTTGCTGACAACTTAAGTTGTTCAGCGGTCCAGACGTGGCTCCAGGAAATCGCGAAGTACTCACAACTAAGTCTGGATGGTAGGCATAAGGGGAGTACCAGATGGCAGGGGCACTCAATCCATACAATCCATAACATAAGAAAAATGGCTGAAAGGATTTCTATTATAAAAAGTTACAGGTGCGCCTGGGTGGCTCAGTCGGTTAAGCGTCCAACTCTTGATTTGGGTTCAGGTCCCGATCTCACGGTTCAGGAGTTGGAGCCCCGCGTTGGGCTCTGCACTGACATCGTGGAGCCTGCTTGGGATTCTCATTCTCTCTCTCTCTCTCTCTCTCTCTCTCTCTCCTCTCTCTCTCTCTCTGTCTATCCTCCTCTGCCCCTCCCCTACTCACACTCTTGCTTGCTCTCTCTCTCAAAATAAATAAATAAACATAAAAAAAAAAATGTTTTTAAGTTACAAAGGATGATCCCAAAGATTTGCAGTTAACGGTCTGGACTTCTATCTTCCAAAATTCCGTGAAGAGTTTCTGTAGAGCAGTGCCCTAGTAACATCCTCCTCCTCTTGAAAATGACTTAGAGGTGAGCACCCTGCTGCTGCCAGATAAAGTCTGGAGTCCTGGGACAGGAACCCGACACCGTGCACGTCTAGCCCCCAGCCGCTGTTCTCCATACTCCCCTTTCCCTGAGCAGTGATCCAGCCACCAGAACGACCTCTGTGCCTTCTGCGTCTTCCTTCCTGCACGTTCAGATTTGCTGACGCAGTTCTCTCTTCCCAGTGCACCGGCCCCTCAGCCCTTTGCTTCCCTCCTAAGCATTTTAAGGCCTTGCTGAGTTTGTGAACTGCTGTGAAACCTTTCCTTTTACTTCTCCTCCTACATATGCTTCCGTCCTCTAAATGCCTGCAGCATTTGCTGAGACTCCTGGTCTCTTCCACCCCGTACGTAGTTGTTCAAATGTTTTCTCTTTCCCACTCAACTCCAACTTCCTTGAGGAGTCGTGTCTTGCTCATCTGTGTCCCCTTGATGCATGCTTCCGTGCCTTATACATAGTAGCTACCCAATAAATCTGATGAGAGGATGAGTGAAATTCCCACTTTACATGCTCTAAAGAGGAAACAGGGACTCGTTGGAATTCAAAGGTTCAGGAGTAACATTTTTTATCTCCAGACCTGCTTTTCGTATTTTTATTCTACCTTCCTCTTCACAATTTTAATTCATTTAACTCTTTCTCCGTGTATGTGTCAGGCACCGTACTAGACTGTAGGAAGATACAGCCTTGGACAAAACAGATAAAAATGGCTGCCTTCATAGAGTTTATTTTTTGGTGGGGGAAATGGACAACCAGATAAATAAGTAAAATGTTTGCTATTCTAGGTAGCAGTAAGTGGGAGGGAAAATATAGAAGAGGAGGAGAATACACAGCATTGGGAAGAAAGCAGTTTTGGATGGCATGGGCAGAATATTGTTGAATCAGTGCTGCTTTGCTGTTTTTTGTTTTACATTTTCTTTTAAAATAATTTTAGACTTACCAGAAAAGTTGCAAAAACAGTAGGTATAGTTCATATAAGCCCTTCATCCAGGTTCCCCTAATGTTAACAACACATATAACTCAAGTACGATATCAAAACCAGAAAATTGGAGCGCTAGATGGTTCAGTCGGTTAAGTGTCTGACTTTGGCTCAGGTCGTGATCCCATGTTCCGTGGGTGGAAGCCCTGAACTGGGTTCTGTGCTAACAGCTCAGAGCCTGGAGCCTGCTTTAGATTCTGCGTCTCCCTCTCTCTCTGCCCCTCCCCCACTTGTCCTCTGTCTCTCTCTCTCTCTCTCTCAAAAATAACATTTAAAAAATTTTTTTAATTAAAAAAAACCCACAAAATTAGCATGAGTTTAATACTATTACCTGAATTACAGACCTTATGTGAATATTACTATTTTTTTTCTCCTAGTGTCTTTATGCTGCTCCCCAGTCCTATTCAGATCCCACTTTGCATTTTGCTGTCATGTTTCCTTACTCTCCAGTCTGTAAGCGTTCCTCAGTCTTCCCTTACCTTTCATGACCTTGACAGTATGGATAGTGCTGCTCAGTTGTTTTGCAGAATGTCCCTCAGTTTGGGTTTTTCTCATGATTACATTGAAATTAACACATATTCTACCAACCTACACATAGAAGTGATGTTGTGTCCTTCTCAGTCCATAGAATCAGGAGGTACCTGATGTTACCATGCCTCACTACTGATGATGGTTCTCCTTGATCATTTGGTTAATGTGGTGTCTACCAGATTTCTCCTGGAAAAAGTCACTGTTTTTCCCTTTATAACTGATGACTCTCTTAGGAGTGAGACTTTGCTAATATCCTG